ACATATATATATATATATATTATTTTCTATAGCAGTGATGTCTATGATTACAACTTGTATCACATAAAGCTGACTTTTTACAGCAAACATCTATAGCAGAAATCTCATCGACTATAAAAATACAAAAGAGTATAATCAATTATATACACACATGATAAAATTCTGGAAAAAAAATGCTTGATTGTCATCTCAACTACCAGGTTTACTACTGGATATGAAATTGATTTATCAACAACTACAGTGATGTAAGTACTGTATCAGCAAATACTAAAAAAGAAATCAAAATTTTAAAGGCTTCTGTAGTCTAAAGATTTAGAACACTTGCACGGAATGCCAGAGATCCGGGTTCGACTCCCGGCTGATATTTTTCGCAATGAAAAATTAATTATTTACAGATTTTAATAGATCATTCAACATTATCAAGATTGATATAAGATAATAGCATCAAAAATCGTTAAATTGTTAGTCAATTTAACTCGTGATATTACTGTGGTAGTTTATTAGTGTTGCGTTTCAAGTCTGAAAAAATTTCGGTTCGTAATCAAAGATTTACATATGTAGTATATAAATTCACACGCAATTATATATAGAAACGTATGCCAACATTAGCAAATATCATACACATACATGTGACACACATACAATTATCCATATTAAATGTAGTCAGTATTTAGTAAATGTATGCAAAGTTGTCGTGTACATTGGCCATATTGTCTGGAAGTGTCTTTAGACTAAATACATAAACAAATATCAATATAAACGGTTTAAAGCATTTCTCAATTAAAAAAAAATAAATTTTTTATTGTTATTTAATATTACAATGCAATTATATTTTATTATACTAGACTAAATACATAAACAAATATCAATATAAACGGTTTAAAGCATTTCTCAATTAAAAAAAAATGAATTTTTTATTGTTATTTAATATTACAATGCAATTATATTTTATTATACTATAATTTCCTTAATAATTTGAAAAATATATCACAGATAAAAATAATACTACAATATTGTTTTTCATTAAAAACAATATTGTAGTATTATTTTTATCTGTGATATATTTTTCAAATTATTAAGGAAATTATATATAGTATAATAAAATATAATTGCATTGTAATATTAAAATTGTTTTTCATTAAAAACAATATTGTAGTATTATTTTTATCTTCATATAACTTATATAAGCAATATCAAATCTTATTAGACCATTAGAGTTTAAAGTGATAATTATCGATGAGAACATAACTCTATATCCAACGCTGATTGGATGCTTCTAAAGGCCATTACACGTACAAAAATTTTAGTAGTAATCGTAAGGTCTTAAGCAAATCGGCCAATCACAGTTTAGCGTATTAAAATGTGAGATCGTAATCTTGATTGTGATTGGTCGATTTGCTAAAGACCTTACGATTACTACTAAAATTTTCGTACGTGTGATGGCCTTAATATATAATTTCGTGTGAATTTATATACTACATACATAGATTCTTAAATGCGCGCCGATTAACTTATATTGCGAAAAATATTACCTCGGCTGGAAGTCGAACCTGGATCTTTGGCATTCCGTGCGAGATATAAAGCATTACGAAAAATGTAAACTTACGTTTCCTATTTTCTTATGTATTTCTATCCTATGTATCTATTCAATCCTATTTTCTCATGTATTTCTATTCTACGTATCTATTCATGTATTCTATTTTCACCTGTATTATCGTGTAATAACGTCTTTTACGCAAGAAAAAACCGTTTGCAATCCACCCAGACAAGAAAATATCTACGGGAAAAACGCAATTCACCCTGTTTATAATTTGTAGGCAGACAGACAATGTGCAATATGAGGAAATCTTGATCCCCCTTACGGAAATAGAAAATTGCGTCTATAAAGTTTACCCTTCGTATCCTGCTTGATCGTTTCCTAGAGAGGAAGTCACGCGAAGTAGCGCAGTCGCATTTGACTTTTCTCGCATGTACGTTCGAACAATCCGGTCAGTCATCATTGAGCTTTCGCTCCTTCAACAATGTATAGAACTATCACAAAGAAGACAAATTCGGTCGCGATTGCTATCTACGATTACAAGAAAGATATAAGGCTGAGCGTTCAATTGATTCGTTGGATGATGGAGATAATTGGCGCATGGCCGAAATCTGCTGTGATCTCATTGTTAGAGAGATACGCGTACGCGCTGTTAAATGTTATTTGTATCGGTTTGATTAGCTTTCTCGTCGTACCCGCTGTTATCTACATAGTGCTTGAAATGGATGATGGATACCTTATTTTGAAACTCTCCGGAGCATTGAGTTTCTGCATATTGGCCATCGTGAAATATTTTTCGTTAATCTTTCATGAAAAAGATATTCGTAATGGTATCAAGTATATCGAGAATGATTGGATAAACACTCAGTATTACAGTGATCGGATTATCATGATCAAGAGCGCGAAATTTGGTCAACACCTTGTGGCAATTTGTATATTTTTCATGTATGGCGGTGCCGTTTTCTTCTATCTTGCCCTACCGTTCAGTGTTAGCAAAATTACAGAAGATGACGGTAACCTGACATATCGGCCACTGGTGTATCCAGTCGCCAGGGTGATTATCGATGTACGATATAGTCCTACTAGGGAGATTTTTTTTTGGATGCAGTGCCTATCAGGTTTTCTCGCTCACTCTATCACTGCTAGTGGATGCAGTTTAGCTGCCGTATTCGCGATGCACGCTTATGGTCGCATGGAGATCCTAATACAATGGATCGAGCATTTGATAGACGGACGAGAAGATTTATGTGATAACATGAATGAGAGATTGGCGATGATTGTAGAGCAGCACGTACGAATTTTACGGTGACTCTATATCCAAGTATTATCAGTGTCATGCATTTAATATATTTATAGTGCGCTACAATTTATTTTGAATTATTTAAAAATACTTAACGAAATCGTACTTTTTCTGTGAAATATATTATTTACGCGATATATAACGTATTTGATATCTTTCAGTTTTATATCATTAACGGACAGAATATTGCGTGAAATATCTGTCATTGAAATTGTACAATGTACAGTAAGCATGTGCCTTCTTGGATATAATATTATCACGGTACGCATATCGTATAAAGAGTATGTGTGATATAAAATTGTATTACAAAATATATTGCTACTTCGGAACAATGCTGGATTACAATCGATGTAATTTACAGCGACATGTACAATATATCCTTAAATATAAAAATTATTATATTGCAGGAATGGGAGAGCAAAAAGACTACAAGTTACATAACGTATACTGTTCTTCTTCTATCTTTTACTTTTAATATTTTTATATTTTGTTATATCGGCGAACTTGTTGCCGAAAAGGTAAAGCTTTACAATCAAAGCATTCCTCAGCATATCTGCATGATATATTTTTCCACAATAACAAGAGCATTTTTATAAATATTATTATTATATAATAACATATTGCTATAATAAAAATATCTAATTATACTAATATTTAAAAAATTCAGAATTATATTTTAGAGAGCACTCTTAATTGTGTAAGTGTAAATAAACTGACATTATATGTCGTCATTTGATGTCAAAATGGCAATAAATAACGTCAGTTTGCTGGATATTATGTTTTGTATAGAAAAAATAAATTGAAGAAGCAATCCTATAACTAGTACAAGAAGATCGGTGAAGTATCATACACGATCGACTGGTATTGTTTGTCTGGAAGAAAGAGCCTCGACGTCGTGTTAATGATCGCTATGTCCAATACATCGATCAAATTTACTGCTGGAAATATCTTCGAGTTGTCTTTCACTACTTTTGGTGACGTGAGTAACGTAATGTCAATATTTATCGTATCTGTCTATGAGAATATGATTTATGCATCATTCGTACAATCAACAGGTGATTAAAACGTCGGTCGCTTACTTTAACATGCTGCGTACATTAAATATATAAAATTCTTGTCTGAAACGTACAAATTAATAAATAATGCAACTAATAAGGTAGCAAATAAATGTCAATTAGTTATCTAATATGTATCAAGTAAAAAATTAACAGAAATGTTTTTTAAGAAATAAAAAATGTAACTGATTAAATTATTATAAAAATATTATTTAGCACTGCACATGCGACATAAAATCAAGCTAATGCAATTTGAAATAATATTTATTTAATTATTTTTAATGACGTGTTTATTCTGTTTTAAACTTATTGTTGTACATAATACATATGCACTCATCACGTATAAATGAACGAACAAGAAAATTTTAATTATCAAGGAATAATTAGAAAGAATATCATTCAAAGAGTACAAAATATATAATACAAAATAATATAAAGTCAACTACATATGATACCTCATTCTATGCAGATTATTTTCCTATTGTGCATCTAACACAAGTAATAGAATAGGGTATACAATAACTACGGATTAATCAACGCAAGTCACACTCGTATCGATCGCTACTACCCCTTCACTCTGGAAAATCTGAAACTCTATCTCTTAAGCTAACTATACTCCTTTAAAAAAAAAAGAGTTAAAAAATGCGCAAGCGCTGAGAATGACCCGATGTTTCCTTCATCGCAATGTTATCGCTCAATAGTTCGCGGACGTTCAAATCACTACCATGTCCCATTCCTTCCGCGTGTTTCCTACGCGTAACATTACGTATAAACAGGATAGCGAATACAGTATTCAACTAAATCGTTGGTTTTTGAAACCAATCGGTGCTTGGTCAGGAACCAATACTGGTATCACTGGCAAAGTGTTGTCACGTAGTATTCAATTTGTCTGTCATTCTCTGATTGCCTTCACGGTAGTGCCGTGCGCGTTATATATCATATTTGAGCCGAATGTGCATCTAAAGCTGAAGGCTTTCGGTCCGATGATACACTGGCTGATGGGTGGCGCAAACTATTGTTCATTACTGGCGCGTAGCTACGATATACGCAAATGCGTGGACCATATGCGTACCGATTGGCAGTATGTGGGAACGACGCGCGATCGCGAGGTGATGCTGCAAAATGCTAAGTTCGGTCGATTTGTATCCGCTTTTTGCGCGGTCTTCATGCAAGGCGGTGTCTGTTCCTACAGTATTATTACTACGCTGACACCAGCCAACGTTCGAATCGGAAATGTTACGATAACGACGCACCAGCTTCCATGTCCATTCTACACTGAGCTGGTGGACACTAGATACAGTCCAGCGAATGAAATCGTGATCGTCTTTCAATTGTTGTCAACTGTCATAGTAAACTCTGTCACGGTGGGCGCGTGCAGTCTCGCCGCGGTCTTCGCCATGCATGCCTGTGGCCAGCTGAGCATTCTGATGATGAGATTGGACGAACTTGTTGACGAGAAAGAAAGTGAACATAAAGTCACGCGACGAAAGATGGCTATCATCGTGGAGCAACATCTTCGTGTACTCAGGTAATATCCCTTTAAAGTTTCAAATGTATTTGATCTTTAATTGATTTATATTTCCATCAAAATTCAAATGAGTAGAAAAAATGAGATTGTAATATTTAAATAACCGATTCAGCAATTCTTTTTAAAAAATATTCTTTTTTAAAAATTATTTAATTAGTTTGTAATTAAAGTTTTCAAACTCTTTATTTAAATTTCTCTGCTGTGGAGAAGTTACTCGTAATAAAAAATAATATTATTAAAAAATGTATAATAGTATTATATATTGAATTATTATATTATATAGTATATTGTATTACTAAAATAATAGTTTTAATTTCAGTTTTGTATCGCAAATAGAAGCGATCATGCATCAGATATGTCTCGTCGAGTTGTTGGGGTGTACTACTGATATATGTATGCTCGGATATTATACGATTACGGTATGCTGGTCATCATATCAAAAAGTTGCAATAACTGCAAAATAAATCTTTGTGCGTGCGCGCGTGCGTTTCATTTATGTTGCATTTTTTATTATATTTTTTAATAAAATCAAGCAATAATGAAATTATTTTATACTGACATTCATATTTTACTTGTATGTGTATATACATATATATATTTATTATTATTAGAATTATTATATATAATTATAGGAATGGAAATTACACGATACCAAAAATTTGCTCACATACTTTACTATATTCATAGCCATGTCATGCAACATTTTTATATTTTGTTACATTGCTGAAATCCTCACGGACCAGGTAGTTGCATCGTGTATATTCATACACATATCTGTATATAATTTTTTTTCTTTTTTATTATAATAGTCTAAAATAAAATTATGACGTAAAAACAAAGATCAAATTAGAGTTTGTATAGTGTCAAAAAATAGGACAAATGGCATACATGACAGAGTGGTATCGTTTACATCATAAAATTGCGATCGATCTAATTCTAATAATTTCAAGATCGAATGCCGTTATTAAGATAACCGCCGGAAAAATGGTTCAGCTATCTATTGCAACTTTTGGAGATGTAAGTTTATTTGAATATTACATTAACGTTTTTCTATAAATAACAAAATTTCAATACAGATTTATATCTGTAGATTTTTATAAAATTTTTTTTTAATTTTACTATTTTTGTATATTTAGAAAATATATAATAAAAGACTCTTAAGGTTTAAAACAATTAAAAAATTAAAGGGCTTATAAGAGTCAATGGTTCACGATTAAAAATAGAATAAATAAATATAAATATATTAAAAGTTAGATATAAATTGTACAAATTATATATATACTTTGTACAATTTATATTTATAACTTTTAATATACTTATATTTATTTATTCTATTTTTAATCGTGAATCATTGACTCTTATAAGCCCCTTAATTTTTTAATTATTTATATATATAATAATACCATATACATTTAGCTATCTCTCTGTCTTAATGTTTATTATATTATTTAATACTTATATTGCTTAATATTAATTGCTTACAATTTATTATCATTCTAATTCTAATACATGCTTAGAAGGATCTAAAAATAATTACACTAAGGATATGTAAGGATCAGTTGGATCTGTCAATTATAATATAATTATTTCAGGTCATGAAAACATCGTTTGCGTATTTAAATATACTCAGAACAGTAGCGACATAATAAAAACTAGATGCATATATGACATAAAAATCCCAAATAACGAATAAAATGTAAATTTATTTAAATTATAATAATTAATAATCAATGTAGTAATATAGCCAATTTTATAGTATTAATATACATATAAATACATCTCTTACTTTTCAATAATGCCATTATGTGCAATATCCCATTTTATGTTTATTAATAATAATATTATATTTTGATGTGTGTGTGTGTGTAACAAACAAAATGTAACTTCTAACGGTTAAAGTGTTATATAAAAAGAATCAAAGAACGTCATACTTTTAGCTGATAGAATTTACATTAAGAATACTACTTGTTAAACAAAAGGGAAAAGTAACTGCAAATTTGATTACCTTTGTTGATCGAACTATCTCATGAATCGTGTTTAGATGCCTCGTACAATTCATATGATTTCGTGCAACTAGTAGCTGTAAGTATCGATTATATTCCGTCTCAGCGGCGTACAAATTTGTTCTCTCTCCTTGCATGTCCGCGCAGGCGCTGGCGTAACCACTGCTTCGTTAAGAAATCAAGTGGTAGAACTATAGCCCGTAGTATTATCAGTACCTGGCGCGTCGTCTTCGAAGCGACTATGAAGCGCGTTTCTAGCGAGACCACTGTGAGCGATTACAGACGAGATAACGATTATAGTTTACAGTTAAATCGTTGGTTTCTGAAATCGATAGGCGCTTGGCCAGAATTACAAACAAATTTAATGATTAAGAATATTTTAATAAATATCTTGCGATTAATGTGTCATTCTTTAATAGCTTT